GGCAGTCAGCAACGGATTAGGTTGGATTTTGTTTTGTCCTTGTACAAAATGTATATCGAAGCATCATGATTCTTGTTGGATGTAGGGGTTTTCTTTTACACAACCAGTAATGTATCTTAGGCCACACCAATTTAATTTCTTGGTGAACGGATTCGCCCGCTTCATTTTTTTCTGATTTGCAAAAAAAAAAAAAATTCAGAATCAACTGCAAAATGCCCATATTTTGCCCTGAACAGTTGAAAACAGTCCTTTTCTTCCTAGCTGTTACAGTTATTCTATCTTTCAATGCAGTGGTATCATTAAAAGCTCAAAATTCATTGTTTAAATTTTGAACCAGCTTTGTGTGTTGACCTCATGGCTCCTATCGTACCATTTTGGGCCATAATACTAATAGGATGATAAGGCCTGTTTTTATTTTTAATTTTTTCGCCCGTCTGCTCCAATATTTTTCTAATAATCCATTAAAAAATCCGTTAACCAAGAAATTAAATTGGTGTAGCCTTACCTTGCTTACATCTATATTATCAGACACCTTCCTCAGAAGCTCTTGATTCATTAATCACATGGGACAAATAGTAATGATGAATGGAGACTTATGATCAAAGGAGGCATTGTCACTGTGAATATGCTAAAGAAGCTTGCAACTGAATCCGAGTATTGTCTAGACAGATCTTTTTTGTACACTTCAATGACATTATTCAATATATATGTCAGTCAACTCTATTCTTATATCATATACTTGTCTTGTTGCAAAGTTCACTGTGGAGAAGTTATGTTCAGTAAGCCTGAAATGCTTCATTACTTCAATATTGTTCCTTCCTTACCCATGTGCTACATGTAGGTTCTTTCTAGGGCTGCACCAATTTAATTTCTTGGTTAACAGATTTTTTAACGGATTATTAGAAAAATATTGGAGCGGGCGGGCGAAAAAAAAAAAACAGGCCTAGGCATCCTATTATGGCCCAAAATGGTACGATACTAGCCATGAAGTCAACACATCAGGCTGGTTCAAAATTTTAACAATGAATTTTGAACTTTTAATGATACCACTGCATTGAAAGATGGAATAACTGTAACGAATAGGAAGAAAAGGACTGTTTTCAACTGTTCAGGGCAAAATATGAGCATTTTGCAGTTGATTCTGAATTTTTATTTTTATTTGCAAATCAGAAAAAAATGAAGCAGGCGAATCTGTTAACCAAGAAATTAAATTGCTGTAGCCTAAGAACTTTCTAGTATCCATCTCTGCTTTTCACCATCACTTAATGATAAACCTTAAGTTAAATGTAGAGTCTGTGAGTCCCTGTGGATGTCCCAGCATGTATAGATGAGAAATGGGAGTCTTCTCTTATATAGAAGCTTCTAGTATCTTCCTCCATCCATCATCAGGGGTCCATAAATGGAAACTCTTCACAGTCCCTGTCTCTGATTCACACCCGGAGGGTTACATCCATGACAGTAGTGCCGATGATCCATCCGGCGTTGTAAACCTCCACATCTCGCCCCCGGCTCGAACACTTGAGAGAGAGAACCGCTTTAATCTTGACTGGGAGGATTTGGCGCGAGCGAGGACTTCAAAGGATCTGATCTAAATGCCCGTTATACAGTCCCGTCCACCTAAAAGCCTGTCGGGTGTCGAGGCAGTTTTCTTGTTAAAAGGCTGCGGCCTGCCTTACTCAATCATAGGACAGGGATGCAAGCCGTGGGACAATTGCAAGAACCAAGTCCATTTATGTGGCAACACTACAAAGTAATTCTTTTCCTTATTTCTAAGCTCTTTGAAGATTGAAAATTCTGGTTGAAAGGAAAACTTACAGTAACTGTGAACAAAGAAAAGTCTTTTTTATAACATGCTGTAGTGAGCAATTAAGCCACTAATAAAGGTTTGACATAAACTTTTGAAAGGTTTAATATACCACGAGTTTTCGTGTTCTTCTTCTAGGTACAAATTTTGTAAATTTTTTTTTGATTTCAGATTTTTACATCATACAAATACCGGTACAGTAACTGTAAATCATGTTTTTTCATGGTACTTTTATATTCATGAAATCTATCATTAATGTGTACAAATAATTTGCTAACTTTCCTTCTTCTGCACTGCACCTGCCACGACCACGAATGTATTATTATAGCTCCGCGAACATGTCCATTTTTCTCAGACCGTGAAATTTTGCTACTGCGAATTTAAAGTGATTGCAGTAGTGGTTAATGAACAATTTTTAAAACTTGTATTTAGTAATACTTTAACCTGTTATGCAACAAGCAAGAGTTTTGGACTTGTAGTTTGTGTAACAATTGTTTGATTTCATTCACCTCGACCCTTTCCTTTTTAACCCACTTGTCCTCTTGTAAACAGTCCCATAGAAGTCTCAACCCTGAGCTGTTTTTGTTCCAAAGACATTTTTTGTCCCAGTTTTAACGTTCAGGGCACTGCATATGTTGTTGATGGATGGTATATTTGCTTACTTAGTCCCCGGAGGTAGGAATAACAATTGTTACCCAAGCTTGGCTTGGGTAGCTATACCACCACGCTTCTCCTAAGAACAATCTAACAGGCAATCTGATGCTATTTTTGCCCCAAGTTTTTAAAGACAAGTTGGTAATTAATGCAAGGCATATAGCGAAGAGTTACACTAGGTTTGATGCCCCAACAAAGTCTATTCACGACTTGTGTTTTGGGTAAAACTCGGAGGGTATTTTGAACCGCCCAATGCCACACCTCTAATTGTCTTCATTTGAATCTTACGGCCAGCTATTAAGTTTGAAACACTCCTTTCACCTTACTTCTAACTTAATAAGAAAGTCATAAGATTTCTATTTCCTTGATAAGTTGTGTTACATAACCAAAAAAGATTTTAAGAATGGTAGTCGTTGTTGAAGGTGTTTTGAATGTTAGATCCGTAAGCCTATAATCTATTGTTACTAAATCAGTACGATTAGTAGCCGATGCAGTCGACCCTTTATGTCGCGACGGTCTCAGTTTCACCGTAGGCACACATGAGCATTATTTGCTTGTTTACAGACAACAGTAATGTAATGCCTGACTGCTCCTTCTCTGTCGCTTCTTTTCTGGGCGCTCCCGGTATAAGATGTTATGCAAGACACGCTCCACTGCCTTCTTGGGCGTCCAAGTATCCTTCTTGAGATGCTGGGCTGAGAAACACCTGAGAAAAGTAAACTAAGACCATTGTTGCATGGCGGTATGACATCATCAGGGCCAAAAATGCACCTGTATGAATGATAACCCTAATCCCTAACTACACAAGGTAGTGTTCCTTGTATGCATGGTGTTGATACAATTTCTGTGTGCCAAATCAAACATATCTAAATGTCTACATAATACTAATAGAAGCATGCAGCAAAGCTGGCTGGTACTGAAATTGAGATTTTTGAGAGGGAAACTTGGATCAAACTGATGCACATTGCTTGCAGGACATTATCATACATAGCTTGTTTGCAGAACGTACTGTGCCTGCACAAAACCCATTTTTTGTCACTGTTTTGTTGGCCCGTACAGTCAATGTTGCATCAGAATTTTTCCTGTTGCAGACTGTATCTTTTCTGACACAACAGTTGAAAACTACAGACGGGATGTCATCCTCAAATATGTGAACACTGCCTTAAATGAGATTGCTCTGCTGAAGTGCTATGCACAATACATTATGGGTTTTATACAGGCGCAGTACATTCTGCCAAAATGCATAAGTCTAGGGTAAGGATGGATTGGGTGGGTAGATTTGCATATATAGAAACATTACTGACAAAGTCACAGTGATCTAGCTTTAATCATTTTACACTTCGGCAATGGGCAGAATGATAGTATACTAGTTATAGTACATAATACAAAATTGCTAACCCTCATTTTTTCCTACTGTGGTATACGTATACCAACTGAGAAAAAAATACTAGACTAAAATGAGTGATATCTATATTAGACTGAAATGAGTGATATCTATACTAGACTGAAATGAGTGATATCTATACTAGACTGAAATGAGTGATATCTATTTCAGTTTGCAATTCAATGCTTTCTATTGCCACAGTTTTACTGACCTAAATCTTTGTTAGGTTGATTATTCTATGGATGAGTTCAGTGACGTCAAACGGTGCATTGTAAATAAAGATAAAGAGAACTTTGTGTTTAATCAGTTCATCTGTCAATTTTGTCAGAGGCTGGATCACTTTAATTTATAGTTTGACACATTTCTAAAAAATGTCATGCTACAGTTGTTTTACAGTTTTATATTAATTGTCTATGATCTCTGTAACCCTGATATCAAGAATGCTAGTAGACATTAAAAATTAAGTTATGTATTGATCAATTTCTGTAGCATTGTTCTCAAAATTGTCTTTACTATTAGTATCACCTGAGCCTTGAACTGTGTAGCTTGAAGTGTATGAGTTATTATGTAATACATAATGTTTGCCTATTACGTAAGCACTATCACGGCTACATGTACAATGTAAATGTCATGTCGAGAGTTTTGTTTGGTCTAGAAATACGACTCAGATAAATTTTCTGTATGACGATTTTGTACTAGGCTAATACGCCTGAAACGTTTTCAGAGCCTTCATAAAATTTCCATCATGTGAACCCGCAACACGCAGTAAATTCTAATGTACATTGACGTGTTCATACTACATGTACATACCCAGACGCTTGTGTCTAAAGGGCATTGTGCTAGAACTGCAATAGCAGAACAAATGGGATAAAGCAACAAAGGCCAAATATTTTACAATTGTTAGAAGATATGTGTATGTGTGTATAGTAAGTGTGTGTTATATCAGCAAGATTGCAATTTCCTTTTTTACAAGAAATCATTGTAAAAATTATTTGAACAACCACTTCTCAAGAAGGCTTAGTACTAGATTTGTCTATCAATCCCTAAAGCTTGTTTAGGTAATCATATAAAAGCTTTAATTTTGATTGTTTGATCCATGTTACGTGTACATCCTGGCAGGCTTGTAATTTGATCCCTCTGCTTGTTTGTCTCTTCTAGCTGTCAATCAAGCATCCCATCCCAGCATGCAACAGGTGTGACATCAACAGTTGCCCGGGCAACCATTACAGGTGAGTGATTCTGTCAGTTGGGGGCTTTAAAGGGTTCAGGTGTCCGTTGTTTGTGATTTAAGGGTGCCTGTGTGTGGGTGAGATACAGGAGAGCATGCAGGCAGTATGTTTCCAACCCCCTAGTGGTCATAGCTGGAACAGCAGGTAGAAATGAGGAATACTGTAAAAGCTGTACCAATCTGAGGACGGATACAATCTTGTCCATGTGGACAGATGGTCACTACAGACAGGATTCTTGATGCTAAGGCCATACCAATTTAATTTGTTGTTTCTCAGAAAATATGAAGCGACAGGGCGAAAAAAATAAAAACTAAATTATGAATACAAGGCATCCTAGTATAATACAAAATGCTACGAAAGGAGCAATGAAGTCAACACAAAAGGCTGGGTTACTATTTAAACAATGAATTTTGAAGTTTTAATCAAACCACTGCATTGATAGATGGAAAACCTGTAACACCTAGTAGGAAGTTACAGGTTTCTATGACAACCTGTAGCTAAGGACTTTCCTCAACTGTTGGGGGGCAAAATATGAGCATTTTTTAGTTGATTCAGAACCAAAATATTTTTTGCAATTAAAAAAAAAACCGAAGAGGCGAATCCGAGAACCAACAAATTAAATTGATGTGGCCTAATGAGAGCAATGACAAAAAACCATGTTTTAACAAGCCTTTATAAATGATAAAAAGGCTTACTGTATGTTGTGGGGACATCTGTGGTTGTAAATTTGTGTCACAGCGGAAGCAAGTTACTAGTAAGCAGGGATAAGTTCACAGCCTGAGGCACATAAGCGGTCCTATGATATCCCAAGGATTTCCTTACAAAGTGTGAGGCTAACCTTGTCACATGTTGACTTGTCTGTAGTAACCTCCATACCAAGGCCGTGTTGTGGTTTATTCTTGTCATGGGTTGTGCGCACGGTCACGTCTGCTTTCTATTCCAATAGGAGAAATGCCTTGCCAAATACAGGTTACTGGCAATGATGTTGTTGTTCGTTCTTGACCAAAGGCACATAAACGTTATATGGAAAACTGCCATGATTAGATTATTAGATGCGTAATACAGTATCCGAAAAGAAATTGTGCTGTGTCAGTTTTGATGTTTAGCAGCAAAGCTAGGAAAGTTTAAGTATCAGGCCTGCATGTCGCCCCTGCATAACCATACAGCTTAAACAGGAAATGTGTATAATACATGTATAAGACTTTTCCGCGCTGATTTAAGTGGTCCAGGAGGTGTTCGAAAGAGAACAGGGTTCGATCCGCATCTGTCTATTAAGGTAACCTACCAACATTGTCTTGTTGTTGAATATTGTCTACTATGTATTGACTTACCTATTGAATAAGCTGTATAACTCACAATTAACATGTAGGTACATGTACAGATTAGTACATATTAGCCCTCCCCTCCTCTTTCCAGTATTAAACGTCACAAAAACATCACAAAAATAGCCTTGCCTGCATCGTTAAACAATGTTTAGAGTTAGATGTTCAAGGGTTAGGTGTAACAAGTGGTTCGGTGTAATGTAGGCAGCTGCCGCTTTGCCGGGTACCTGTGAAGCTGGTGTGTTACGCCAAAGGGTGGTTATACTGGCTATACAGATACAGATACAGAAGATCATAATGATTGTTATTATAAAATTTCATAGCCCTTATGATATGGCTTCTGTCAGTCATGGCAGATATTTTACTGTTATCTATAGCAGTTAATGTCTCTCCTGTCATTAATTCTCATTAATTTTTATTTTGGTTTTGAGTTATTACTTTTCTTTCTCCACTCTGTGGCTGCTGATAATCTGATGTAATAAAATTTCCCAGCCAGTCTTAAGTCTTCATGTCGCTTCCGGCAGTCCAATGCTGAGATTTTTCACTCCTTTTAAGCCGTTATCTGCCATCATGTCTTTCACATAGTCATTTCTTTGTACTGCATTTGTTGTTGTAGATTATTACTGTGACTGACTGTGTGAGTTTTTAAAAATCTTGTTATGATAAGAGTCTCGACCTGAGGCAAATAATAAATACTTTTACAGTAGAATATCAACAAGGCCTGTGGCAACCATATATACATGTAGCAGTGACAAGTATCTACATGTAAAAGCCAGGAGTAATTTCATGCTTTGGGCACTATAGGAGATAAAAATATTGACAAGCTAACAGTTTGTTGTTTATTTTAACAGAAATAGTACATGATTGTACATATAGCTTGTGGGTTTGAATAACTTTTAAAGATGCTGCAATTTTGCTTCCTTCATAATGTTTAGAATCCATCATCTTACTATTAAAAAAAATCTATTTATAGCCAAAGACAGCCGTATGAATTTTGGCCAAGTGGGTAGAGTGTTTGCCTTGCATTTAGGTCGTGAGTTCAATCCCAGCCAAATTATACCTTTAGAAATGGTACATACTGATAATTCTCTGCTTAGCACTCAGCATTTGAGAATATGGAGTTAAACACATACCACTGTAACCACTGGACTGGCCCCCTGCCTTAGTGATCGTGCACATTTGCGTGGCCCAAGGGCTATAGAAAAGGAGATAGGCACTGCCCTACATGTATGTACCGTATACTGTAAATCACCTTATTTTCACAGTAGCAAAATGTCATAGTCTGAGATTACAACTGTATCCAGTACATATTAAATTTCATCATTAAAGTAGATGGATTTTTCTGGGCTAGCATAACTAGATAAATGCTGAGTGCATTATAAACTATAAGATGTTTATGAAATGGCAACAGAGTGATAACTTGATGGATGCTATTATATCGTAACCTACATGATCTCTATAAGATGTTAATTAAGTTACTTTGCTTGATTCATTAGAGGTGAGATGAGATGATAGATGTCACAGTTCCGTGTCCTGTGTGTCGGTACATGGACTAGTGATGAAGTTAGATGTCCATTCAAAAGTCTAAAGGGGCAGACAGCAAGTCGTTTGGTGCTATATAGCCAGCTGCCGCCACGCCGTGTGCCTGCGAAGCTGGTGTGTTACGCCAAAGGGCGGTTATACCGGCTATACAGATACAGACAGTCTTACATACCAGCAAGCTACAGTGACTTAAAAAATGGCAGAACGTACTGCATCTGTGTGAAACCTGCATATAAGTATAGTTTAGCGTAATGTAGAATGTACATGTAGAGTCGAAATATTCTCTAGCCAGTAGTCCTTTATAATACTCTGTCAGATACAATGTCCGTTGACCATATATATAGCATTATATTAGGCACATACCAACTAATAATTTTATAATATTTGCCATACATTGTACCCGTGACAATCGTTGTGCAATAAACTTTGACTATAGCACCTACTAATAGGGGGCCCGCAAGCCTTGTTCTGTAGAGTGTAATCGGCCATTTTAATTCTATGTAGAGCGTGGCCAGGCCTCTAATTCAATGTAGAGAGTAATTGGCGCATTTTGCGCAGAGCGTATTCACCATTTTAATTCTATGTAATGCGTTGTAGCCACTTGGAATTTAGCGAAATCGAGAGGTTTCCGAATTCAGCGTAGAGTGTTGCAGGCCCCCCTAATAGGCTGACGGCCTGACACCTTCTTTGTTATCATGTATTTAAGGATGACATCCCGTCTACATGCTTGTTTGTTTTTACTATTTTGTGTCGGAAAAGATATTGTCTGCAAAGGGGAAAATTCTGATGCAACGTTGACCAAACATCCTACGAAAAGCATGAAAAATCCAGATTTTATACAGGCACAGTACATTTGTACATTGTATGTTTTGCTGACATAACCACTCAAGCTGCCTTCATTTGTAAACAGATGGAACAGAGGCCTTCTTAATAATTGCACTGACAGATCTTAATAGGAAGTTAGTAATCTCATGACTTCCTAGCAAGAATTCCATCTTGTTCCTGTGAACACGGTTAACTGCCGAAACAATCTGGTAGTTTGGCTGAAAATTGGAAGGCTTTGTTTTACTGCGTGGTTAATGGAGGAGTCCTTGGGGTGATGAGTGTGTGAAGAGACAGGAATACACCTGTTTCCCATCCATCAGGTCACAACTCATCCATATTATCTCTCTACAATAGGAGGAAAGATGATGTTAAGCCTGTGCTATAACCAGAACCATGCTTTATCCAGAACCATGCTTTATCCAGAACCATGCTTTATCCAGAACCATGCTTTATCCAGAACCATGCTTTATCCAGAACCATGCTTTATCCAGAACCATGCTCTCAGCTACTGTTCTGGATAGTTCACACATTTCCAGACCCAGAATTCTAAAAAAAAATCACAACTGAGTCTTTCAGGAGAGGGTTAATCTAAGGGAATTGACATAAGAAACAAAGGGTAACATCATACTAACATGACGTCATTGTAGCTTGATGGCAAGACTTTCAGCTTGATGTTCTGATGATTTCAAGAGATTACTCTACAACCTAATAACTCTGGTGTACCGTACCCCTACACTTTGATATATAGAAGAAGCTTCCGTTACTGTGTCATTATAGTGACGTCATTGACGTCATTGTAGTTTGATGGCAAGACTTTTATCAGCTTGATATTCTGATGATTTCAAGAGATTACTCTACAACCTAATAACTCTGGTGTACAATACCACTACACTTTGATATATAGAAGAAGCTTCCGTTACTGTGTCTTTAATGGAGAAGTGGTTTGATGTCATCACAGTAGCATACTGTAAGGTGACGTCAACATGAATTGATAGCATAGCTTACGGCCTGATATGATGACGACAATTTCAAGGGATCTTATTATACAATGTTTACTTTGATGTATTTAAGAACATTCACCATGATCATAATGATTCTTTCAAGGAAAAGTGGATTCACGACATCATGGCAGGGAACTACAAAATGACATCAACCTATATATGATAGCATACATGTAGTTTCCAGCTTGTTATCATGATGTTTTCATAGTTTCGAGAGATTTTATTATACAATCTTAGGTGTATTTTATGCTTGTTTACCAGTTAGTGTATAATAATATTTTAGTGCATTGCTTTCTGACAAAACTGGATT